AAAAAAAAAAAAAACCAGAAGAGTTTCTGTTAGCTGTTGGACACTGTAAACTAAATTTTACTAAAATGCTTGCCTCTATATGACTCCCATAAGGGAGAAACTCAAAACTCACTGAACTGGACTGAAGAATGTGAACAGGCCTTCCAGTAGGTCAAGCGGGCCTTGACCGAGGTCACAGCCCTGGGACTCCCTGATGTTACCAAGCCGTTCACCTTGTTCATAGACAAACTCAGGGGCATTGCCAAAGGAGTCCTAACTGAGGACATTGGCCCTTGAAAGAGGCCTATAGCCTACCTCTCCAAAAGACCTGATCCAGTGACAGGAGTATGGCCCACTTGCCTAAGAATACTAGCTGCTGTGACAATGTTACTTAAGGAGGCGAAGAAACTCGCTTTGGGCAAGTGATTTCTGTGGTAACCTCTCACAGTTTAGAGACTCTTATCAAAACCCCTCCAAAAAAAAAAAAAAAAAAGGCTTTCTAACGCCAGAATTCTACAGTCAAGCCCTGCTTCTAGACTCAGAGTAAGTGATATTCAAGAGTTCTTCAGCTTTAAACCCAGCCACCCTTATGCCTGATGATGACCTGGAGGAACAAAGGACATCTCTCCATGAGTGTGCTGACATCCTTGAACTGCAGCAGAACCTATGGGCTGATCTTACTTACCAGCTTTTGGGAAATGCCAACAACTATTTCATCGATGGAAGCAGCTTCATCCACAACAGCAAACGAGTGGCCGGGGCAGCAGTGACCACCGAAAAGGAGGTACACTGGGTTAAGCGGGTAGAGCCTGGCACTTCTGCCCCAAAGGCGGAGCTTGTTGCTTTGACTGAGAGGCTAAAAGTAGCCATGGGAAGGAGGGTGAACATTTTAACTGACAGTAGATATGCTTTTGCTACTGTACATGTACATGGAGCCATCTAATCAGAGCAAGGTCTCTTAACCTCAGCTGGGACTAAGATTAAAAATGCTCCACAGATTCTAGACTTGCTGGCAGATGTCTGGCTGCCTCAATGAGTTGCTATTATTCATTATAAGGCTCACCAGACAGGAGATGACACTGTCACCTTAGGAAACAGTTTGGCAGATTAAGCCGCTCGAAAAATAGCAACCACATCAGAGGGGCCAACCAAGAAAGTAACTGCTCTGATGCTAGTCCCTTCGACCTTGTCAGAACCAGTCTACACAAAGAAAGACCTACAGTTAGCTTCATTTGTATCATAGCAATACCTGTAACTTGGCCTTACTGTAAATGTGTGTTTTCCTTTTCCCTCTGAGTAAAGGATTGATATGTTAATCAATGCTCTCCTCTGTAAAGAATTGTAAAATCTTACCTAATATGTTAACCATTATTTCTCTCTACAAATAGAACAGCTGTGGTGCTAAAGTAAGGTAACTAAAATTGTTAATTACTGTTAGACTTCTCTATTCTTTGCTAAGAGAAACAAGATTTCTTCTTATCTAAACTTGCTAGTATGCAGGGAGACTTGCAATTGCCATTTCTGCTTTTTAGTGCATCACACACCATCCCCTTCCTTACATTGTGTGACCAGCAGCTGTTTGTGCATGTTACAAGATAAAAGCCCCGACTTTTAGCTGTGAGGTGCGCAGTCTCCAAATTGGCTCCTGGAGACTCATCACCAGGCCTGGGTTTTACCTAATAAAGCCTTTGCTTCCCAAATTTTAATTTCTTGCTTCCTTAGATTTTATACCAGGGTCCAAGTTATCACACCAAGGACTCTGTCTTTTCCAGGGACTTTTATAGAGTAAAACCATGGGTTCAAGGTGGGGGAAGACTGGAAACTCACAAGGCACATAGGCTTGAGGTGGGACACAACTATAGTTAGCCAAAAGGATCAATAGGTCAGGTAAAACTGATTATATTAGTGACAAATGGGGAAGTGAGTCAGATTGAAAGCAGGAATTCCTAAAGAGCAATGTCTCTTCCCTAGGGGGATGGGAACTATTTAGGGTATCAATCCTCAGGATAGGGGTGTATTTGTTTGGTCTTTTGTCATGATGCGTGGCCCACAGCAGGAGGCCTCAGTCTCTCCCACAGTTGCCAGGTGTCTGCACTGGCTCCACTGTGAACCTAGCTCTGTCTCACTGCCTATAATATTTCTAACAAACTCAGCTGCCTGCAACACTACCTGAATTGTCAGGCCCTCCAAGAAGATGAATGAGATTTAGATATCTGAGATTTAGTCATCACTGTGAAAAGGAGGCTAGCAGTCTGGAACTTATAATTCATATGTGAACATACAAGGCTTCCATCTACAACAGATGTGGCAATTCTTATGCTCAAAGTTCTCTCCCTCCAAAGCCCACACTCCCGAGGGAAAGAACACTCAATACTCACCAGAGCCAGTCATAAGAGGGATGGAATTTTTAACATGGCTTGAAATGATTGATGGCAGGAAGATGGGTGATAAGGAGTCCCTAAGGGGAAGAAAAACTCAACCGCTTCAAGTCAGAAAGGCAGCCTAGATGGTAAGCACAGGGAAAAAGAGGAGGCCTGGTAAAAATCATAGGCAATAGGGAGAGGTCAACCCTGACCACACTGGTTTCATCCACAAAGCCCAGGTAAAACTAAGTTCTGGAGCTGGAAGGATAGCATGCTGCTGTAGTGTTTGCTACAATGTGAAGTCTCTGTGTCAATCTAAGCAGCATAACATGAAGGAAAGGAAACAAAAGACAGGACAGGAAGGGGTGGGAAAGAAATGAAAGAAAGGCAAGGGGAAAGAAAGAGAAGAGAAGGATAAAAAGGAAAGGAAAGGAAATCACATGTCTGCCTTCATTCAGACCAGTCTCTTCTGAACCTTCAGGATGCAGATCTAGACAGCAGGAATTTTCAAAGCTCCCCAACAAGACTTTCAATAAATACTGCAAGAATGAGAGCCACAAACAGAGGCTGAGGGAAGACACTGAGTTTCAAAGCATTAGTGACGGCAAGGGAGCAATATGATTGTTTTTCACTCTTTTTTAATACATTACTCTGCTTGCTGTGAGCAGCAGAATCAATCACTTATCTATGAATTTGGTTCCATGCAGGTGGATCTAACAAGAAAAACCAGTGCTTACCAAGCACTCATTACATATCCAACTACTATCCTGAATAATTAGTTAAATAGTATTTTATTAATGTTTAACAAAACATAATAAAAGCTATTAATATGCACTTGCTTCAAATAAGAAATCACTGCTTGGAAAATGTTAAGTAATTTACCTACATTCACACAATTGTAATAAAATCAATACAAGACTCTACTCATGTCCCTGGGCTGAACTACTGAAAATGCCATATCTCCAGCAAGTGACAGGGAAATTGCTGTACAGAAAATACATCCATCTTGGCAAGGAATTATTAGGTTTCTGGTTTCAAATAGAGAGATAGAGATATATGATGATATTAGCATGACTCCATTCCAATCTGAAATAGCATCAAAATGCTGAAAAGTGCTCAAGCTGAAGGTGATCCCATGATGCCGGTGAATTCCTCAAGCTATTGCCAGGATATCACCTTCTGTATCCACTGAGCGAATTCTCCACACAAGTTCCAAACCACACACTAATTTCATCATCTCACTGTTTATGCGCAGTTGCCACTTTGAGAAGAAAGAGCTCTGTGAATTTACTATGTGTATTTGCTCCTCACTAAATGTCTACTCAGCACTTACTTCAGAGAGAAACGACCTATTTTCATACTAAGAAAAATCTTAGTCACACTAAGGAACTGAAATATTTTCCCAGTATGAAATGTTCATACACAAAGATCTTTCTATTCACCTCCAAATGTCAAAGAAATAAATTTCATGCTCTATGGCAATAATTTGTACTTTTAATAAAGCTTGAAGAGTGTCTTAGTTACTTTTTACTCTTTGCTGAAACAAAATACCTGATGTCCAAATTTGGGAAAAGAAAGGTTTATTTCTTAGAGTTTTTGAAGGTTTCAGTCCATACTCAGTTGGCTCCGAGGCAGAGAGTTATGGCAGGGCCACAGTTCAGGGCAGCTGCAAACAAGTTGAAAACCAGCAAGAAAGCAAGACACACCTTCTTCCTGGCATTACCTTGTATGCTAGCTCCCCACGTCCCCCTCCAGGTGGTTGTAGCACTGACACCATCAATTCTAGCACTAGACAATGAACCAATTACAAATGCACAATGCAAATGTGTGAGGCCTGGGGCCACCTACATAAACCATGACACAGAGGTATAAGTTACATAGGCTTCAATCTACTCATTCTGTGTATATCCATAAGATGTTTTCTGAAATGTACAGCTATGTATTTACCCCATATTTTGATTAAAGGACAGGTCCAGCACCCTGACACTTCCCAGGTTCCCAGAAGCTCTTTTTGCTCAGGCTTCTCTCATCCCAAAAGATCTGAACTACACATATGCCTGCATGTGGGTGAAGGATTCAGGTTTTCCAGCTGACACATGTTCATGTTTCCTTTAATGGGTTTTGGCTATTTCTAGTGCTCAAATTCATATGTATTCTCAGAAGATATTAAGTTCTTGGTAGGAAGCCTCTTTATTTTTCTTGACACAATATCCTGTGTCCTTCATGATCACACTCAGTGCATCTGTGCTTCTGTTGCTGACATCACTAGACCAAGACACTTAGGAAATAACTGTTTCAGTTGGCATTTGCAACACTCAGAAGACTGAGGCAGGAGGATCACAGTAAGTTTGTGGCCCGTCTGGGCTACATAGAAAAGTGAAACCAGCCTGGAGTACATTGTGAGACCATGTCTCACAAAATCAAACAAACAAAAAAATCACATTTACGGATAGATCCTGAAGATGCTTCAAGAATCTCAAAACATTATAACTGCTGTATGACACTTGCACCCTCTTGTATCTCTGGGGGCCAACCTAAATGCTCAATTCCTATGTAAAGTGAACACATTAAGGGGATTAGGTAACAACTTGTTTTCAAACAGGCACAAATTTTTTATAATAAACATAGAATTTTATTAATTAATACAAGCTGTGAAGACTGAAGGGAGTGTGCTAATAAATGCAAAATTATGTTCATCATTAGAGGTATGCACACATTTCCTAATTTACGTTTGAAAAGCAGAAAGGGATATTCAGAGAGAAAGGTCACAGTGGAACAAGCATTAGAAAATGAAATACTGCTTGTTCTGGTGATGAGGGAAAAGGCCACAAGTCAAGGAAGGAAAAAAACTCAAGATACAGGAAAGGGAAGAGACAGATTCTGTCCTACAATGTACAAATGGGAAGCTGACAATATGTTAATTTCAGCTTTTGAATCTGGTGTTGGATTTTATCTTATGCAACTATAAATTGATGAATTCCACATTTTATAGATGTGAGTTTCTAAACTATCATAAAACAATAAAACATCAATACAAATATTTTGGCTGGATTTTCCTATAGCAAAATATCTAGCAAACAGTGAGCTCCTTTATGTTCTGTTCAGCCCTGCAGACTTCCTCTTGTATCAGGGGAACACAGTCTAGCAGACAGCAAAAGGAAGTGTTCAAGCCCTGGGCCTTGTAGGGAGAAAGCAGATGGGGAGACAGTGAGAGGAAGTTTGTGTTCCAGGCTGAAACACTGTGGGAGGAGTACTAAAAGTCCACAGACAGTAATAATCCACCACATCTTCACCTTGAATGCTGGTAATGGTGAGAGTGAAATCCATGCCAGGCCCACTGCCACTGAACCTGTCTGGGACACCAGATTCCTTGCTTGATGCCCAGTAGATGTGTAGTCTGGGAGGTTCTCCTGGTTTTTGCTGGTACCATGATAACAGGTTCTCATCAACAACACTGTATAGAAGACTCTGGCTGAACTTGCAGTAGATGGTGGTGCTCTCTCTAGCTGGCCCTGTCAGGGAGGCTGTAGACTGGGTCATAACAATGTCACTGCAGACATCTGCAATCAGAAATGCACAGTGATTGTAGACACATACACACTTTAATAAATGTTGAAATATATCCATTCTAATGTTGACACTAGTGCTATTGTCAGTTTATTCTTGAGTCATATTACCTCTCATTGCATTTTAAAATTACAAATTTAATTCTACAAAGATATGACTCTAAATGATTTTCAAAGTGTCCAACTTCGCACCAGAGACCCAGAGCAACAGATATTTGAAGACCTGGATGTTTGACCTCATCTTGCTGCTTCTAACTCCTTGATGGAGCTCAGATCTCCTTGCAAAGGCCTTGCTTTTAAGTATGAGAAGTTGGGCTCACCCTGGAGGAGCTTATGAAAATTTATTGTTAAATAGGAAAGCAAATTGCATGGGCAATGAGTTATGAAACTAATTGATTAAATCAACAGCCAAAAATACCTTCATAGAAAATGTACTTAGGTGACAACAAAAACACAACAGTTAATTTAGAAACTCTGAGATCATTTTCAAACTCCTAAAATTACCACTAGATGTCCTAAAACTTTAGTCACAAACATAAACAGATTATGTATATTACAGTAATATAATAGGCTGGCTGCTTCACATCAACACACTGAGTTACACAATAAAATATGCAAGAAAAGATTATAAAAAATAAAAAAGAGAGATGAAATGAGGGGAGAATAAAAGGAATGGAAAAAAGAAAATGACTACTTCTAAACAAGTTTATATTTTTGATGACCATCACAATGTCTGTTTAACAAGCCACATTAATCCTGAGGTTGAGAAACACAGGACATGCCTGAGCTCCAGGGTCTCTCTGTGCATGAGCCACAGAGCCAGGTGAGGGACACAGAATTCACCCTCTGCGGAGCTACAGGAGGTCCTAATTTAAGCTGGTGCCAGGAAGAGTGCAGATAAGTGTGAATCAAGGACACACAGATGACTTTTCTTTCCACAACTACTGAGAACTAAAACATGGAATTCAAGTAAATTAAAAAGTGGAGAGAGAAGAAAAGGTAAAATTTAATTGGGAAATAATGGCTTCAGAGCAACCCTGCCAAAGGTATTTTTCTCCAAAAACAAACTGGTTTGGAGAACATACAAATCCACAGTTCTCCAATTAATTTAAAATAACATTTCTCATTACCAGGTATCAAGTTAAAACCTCCATGGAGGAAGACATGAACATCCTAATTCCCTAAAAATGTTTTTACAAATAACTTTTTATGGTAACTAGAGACTCATGACTTCTCAAAGCATAAGGATAAATGGATAAATGGAGTATAAATGGATAAAAGCATAAGGATAAAAGGGTAAATGGAGTATAAATGGAAAAAATTGTACAGCAAAGAGCTCTTTTTGTTATTAGTTTGGCAATCATGATAACATTTTTTTAAAAAAATAGAAAAGTATCAATTGAGAATAAAGTATAAGCCTATTATTATATTCAAAACATAAGAAGCTACCAAATTGAATCCAGAGGCTGTGGATTTAGCTCAGTGGCATAAGCACCAGGCTGGCAAGTGCAAGGCCAAGAGTTTGATCCTTCCACAAATAAAAATTAAAAATAAAAAAAGTATTTTTAAAGGTTAAAACCAGATTTGTCTACTGGAGATATCTGGAATCTCCGTGCAACTCATACCAAATATAAATTATTTAATTTGTCTTGTACTTTTAAGATCAAACCAGGAATACTTAATACTTAACATTAAATATGTTTTGAGGTTTTCACTTTCCCAATCTCATTCTGTTTATATTTTCTCTAAATGATATTGGCAATTTTTCATAGAGGAGACATTATTAAAATAAATTCTTGTAATCCAGCTCAAAAATTATGTTAGATTGATACCATCATAAGAGTGAGAGATAGAATGTGGATTGAGAAAGTTCCTAATTTCCAAGGATAAGACAATTAAAAACCTGACAAACGGTGTACATTCACTCCTAATGAGCAGCCATATCCTTCATTTCTATGCTTAAATTCATAATTTGGCTTTGTTTCTGTTTGAGGAGCTCAAACTTATTTGAGCAGATGAGAAGAGGTTTTTAAATATCTAGGAAAATCAGATATGTAAACATACTTACCTCTCTTTAGACAAAGCAGAATTTTCCACCTGTAAATTACTATAACATGAGTGTTCTTATGCAATCAACTCATCAATACTTGTTCCTAAGATTCTCATTGTGTAGAAACTATATGGCCACATAAAATAATTTTTTATAATCTTTTTCCTTTCCTTTTTCCTCAGTACCGGGGATCGAACTCACGACTGCCTGCTTGCAATGCAGGCACTTATGCTGCTGAGCTAAATCCCCAGCCCTGATAAAATAAAATTAATCATAAACTTTTTCTTCTAATAAGAGAAAAAGAATATATAGTTTCTTGTTTTCCAACATACCATGAAATGATACTGACCACAGTACACATTGGATATGTTACACTTCTTGGGTGATCATAAAAATATTACACACTTACAAACTATAAAAAGCACAAGATTATCTCCTCTCAGCATGGGAAGCAAGAAGGCTGGAATGAAAGCAGCCTGATCCAGTGCACTTTCCCACAGTGAGCATTTTGGAAAGAGGCCTAGGAGAAAGTCAGAGGTTGAAACTATGTGGAGATATTAAGAATTGTGGTTCTTCCAGACTTTTGTTATGTGTGCCAACTCCTTTAATTGTGTGACCAGATGATGGTGGTAAAGAGGAAATGCTATTATTAAAACTAACCTTTCTGAGTTTTAAAAAATTTATTTTAGAGTGTATGTGATGGTTCGATATTTATAAATCACAGTAAATGAGTATTAAATGGTGTTTGTTTTACAATGTTTTACAATAACCTGTCAAGGTCCCTACCAAAACTTGTTGCCTATATCTTTTAATGTAGGTTGCCTTTGAGTTTATGAGCTGGATACAATCTCCATGAAGACTGCACTACTTTTTAACCTATAGATCACTTCCTTTTCTCTTTCGCTTTTACTCTCATGTATCCTGTCAAACACTCTCCTTCTCTTCACTTTGCTATTCTTACAAAAATAATATCAGAAGAAAACTGGTTTCTTTCTTTTGTTGGACTTCATTTCTTTTTACTTCCTGCTTTTCTCAATTTTTCTTCTTTGATTTATTTTTAAATCTTTAACTTGTATCTTAGAAAATTTTCAGTGTCATTTCTAAACTTTTGTATTCTTGTGTGATATGGTTCAATCTGAATGTCCCCCCAAATCTCATGTGGTCAAGGGGTGAGCTTCTAGAGTCTATGAAAGAGTCATGGTCTAATGCTGGGTTTATAGGTTTCAGTGTTACACCCAAGTGGCTGTGGCCTACATACAGTGTGAGAGACACAAAAGCCTTCTCTCTGTGCTTCTCCCATACTGCTGTTGTCACTTGTGCTGTTTTCTGCCCCATGTGGTATTGAAGAACCAGAAATTTAAAGGTTAAAAACAAGATGCTGTTTCTCAGCTAGAAACAGCACTGGGCCTCGTGACTCAGTCCTAACTCAGCCCTGCAGGAAGATAAAAAAAACAAAAAAAAAAAAAAACAAAAAAACCTCTGTGGCTGTGATGTTCTCGGGATGTGCTGTGCCAGGGAACTCAGAGATAGAGCCTGCCATTACACTAATCAGGGTTGTAAAATATGTCAGACTTGAGTCTACAGAAACCAGGTGTCTTAAAGATAAGTTGTGCAGAACAAAGACAGTTAATTAACTCTGACCCGCTGGTCACCCCTTATGAACTGACCAATAGCAGATAGATAAGATGCCCGCCGCTCCGCACTAACTGTAATGATTGGCTTCTGTAATAAATGCTTACATTGTGGTTTTTCCCCCTTAAAAACACCAGCCTTGCCCCAACTCAGGGTTCTCCGTTTCCACCTGTTTGGAGGACCCCGTGTGCACAGAATAATAAAAACCCCTTTGTTCTTACATGAGAGCAGGGCCCTTGGAGTCTGCTTTGCGACACCGGTCTTACAGTATTGCCCTCTGCCATGTGCCACTTTGTCTCAGAACCAGTTAATTTAGGATTGAAAGCTGTGCAAAGTGTGAGCTAAATGAACCTTTCTTTCCTTAAATTTCAGTGTCAGGTATTCTGTTCCAGCAAGGAGAGAAAAGTAACCAAGACAGAATTTGCTACCAGAGGAGTGTGGTTTTTGCTGTGTCTGTATCTGGTCATGTAGCTCAAGAGTCCTTGGAATGGCATTTGAAAAGATTTATGAATGGTTTAGAAATATCATTTAAATTGTAGGGCTGCAATAGCTTAGGCTACTCTTAATGGGAAATTTGGTCACGGGTCACAAGACCAGAAAACCAATAAAGACCAAGTTAAGGAGGTTTCTGTTGCTAAAGAGAATTACACTGATTGTGAGACTCCAGATAATGTGTGTTATGGCTTGGAAGACAGATTGTCTGCATTTTACCCATGTCCAGAGACTTTGCCTGATGATGAGGTTAAGGGCATTGCACCAAATTATTTGGCAGAAGAAATTTCAAGGCAATGTTATGTGGAGTGGCTTTTGTTGGTGGCTTTTAGCCAGATTAATGTGCAAATCATAAGCAAAGAGCCCAGCAGGATGATTTAAAACACTGTGAGTTTGTCCACAAAATATGTTGCAGTAAAGCTGTGGACTACAAAGACAGAGCTGAGATCTCTAATGTTGCAAATGCACAAGATAATATAAAAGATAACTTTAAGGAATCACAAGCAGCAGTGAGTCTCCATGTTATGCATGGAGAAAGCTCAAACTGAAAAACTGGAAGATATTGCTTTGAGTAGAAAGCTGAGGAGCACCTTGTTCCCGAATGGTAACAGAAGACAGTATGGTTCCAGAATAGTTACAGTTGGATCAGGTTCTAGCAATAGTGGTGGAGTAGAAAATCTGTTTCTTAGCAAAAGGTCTAGACTGTCCAGTCATCCAGTTACCTGATTCCTATAGCCAAGAGACTGTAAAGCCTGGCTAATGCTGCATACTGCAATAGACCTCAGCATCATCTACATGGTGCTAGTTTTAGGTGCAAGAAGAACACAAGAGTTCAGAGATAAAAAGGCTTCCACTCCAATTTCAGAAGGCCTGGAGGCCAAGCTGTGGGCATGTGAAAGGCAGGATTAAAACACTGAATGTGAAGCCAAAGATGCATGAAGAATCCAGAAGTTTGCAAAACCCAGGAGAGTGGATTATCTAAGCAAACCTGCAAGAACTGTGCGTAATACGCCTAGAGAAGTCATGGGAGCTACTTTGAAGGGAAGTGCATAGAGGTGGAGTTACAT